AAGAAAAAATAAGTTAGATGAATATAGAACAATAAATAGAACACATGTAAAAGAAGAAAGAGGGAAGAATAATGTGGGCTAAAGGATTAAGCATGGATGGTACAGTGGGATAGGGGAGGGGAGGGCATGGCAAATGGATGAGCCAAAACTAAGGATGTGTGAAAAAAAGAACTTAAGGAAACGAACTAATTAGTAAACTAATTTCAAAATACAACCTAAAAAAAGAATTTCAACAAAATTACCCTGCATGTGCAGATAATGGCGACCACTTAGTGTTCCACTGGTCTGCTAAGTATGTGTGGTTGAGAAGAGTGAAGGCTGCCTCACCCCCTCTCTCTGCCACACATCCTTCAGGAGCAGAGGACTCCCTTCCAGGAGAAGGCTATCAAGACATAAGCCAAAATTGAACCACGTTTTCCCTGCTCTTCCATCGGAGAAACCTAGGGCTTATAACCTGCTAACAGAGAGCAGGAACCGTGGGCTTAATTCACCTACCACTGCTCCTGCAGACAGCAAACAAATGACTCATTCAGGAAGAGCGCAATTTTATTGAGATGACTGGCAGTTTTGCAAAATATAAGCATTGTAGTCTCTTCATAAATAAAAATATTCCTTCTCTTTCCGAATGGTTCCTTGCTGTCTTACTTGCAGCCCAGAACAGCCTGTGTTCTTCCTCGCCTGAGCAGTATTGGGCACGAAGCAGTAGAACTCAGTTGCAGGGCAACCAGGACATAACGTTTCCAGCTCTGCTACTGTAGAAAAGGGATTTCTTCTTTCTAAGCAATATCCTAGGCAAACTGGTTTCAGGTCATTAAAAGCTGCAGTACTTCCAAATAAAAAACAATAGCACTTCTCCAGCTTTGCCCAGATACTAAGGTCCTTGACTTTAGTAGCAATTAGATATGGCTCCACTTTTGCACACTGTCTGGAAATGGCGCCAGAGTCACCAAAGAGCAACTGGAAATTAGAAGTGTGATTGTCCTGTGGCCAACGGCGTCTCCAGAAAAAGTCCCTTCGAAGGCATCTCTTAGTTAACCTCTGCAGAGCTATCTGCAGGTAGGCATCTCTTAGCTTTACAGGGCAGTCTGCAGGGCACAGTAGCAAGCAGGTTCCAAATGGCATTTGGAGAGGCTGCTCTTCTAAGGGAGGTTGGGTTGCAGCCCATGTCTTCCGACTTGTTAATTCTCCTTACGGAGTTATACTTATGACATTAGGGACACGGTCTGCACTTAGAGCATAACCAGAGGTAGTCTGGCCTGCTGTGGCCTAATGACCCGTAAGGTTACCAAATACATCTTCATGCAGGGAGGGATAGCTCCATGGTACAGAGAGGAAGCTTTTTGGTCCAGACCCTGCACACGAACCAGTGAAGGGGAAAGATCTGGTAGGGAATTGGAGCTCTTTTCCAATTAAAAAAAAAAGTAACATTCTTCATTTTCTGGTAATACTAAAAACTCACTTTTATGACCCTGACTATAAAAGCTTGAACATTTATTTGTTCAGTGCTGGCAGACAATTCTCCCTCCCCCTTGGAGATTCAAATGCAAGCAGTGTGTGTGTGTGGGGGGGGGGATTGTGACCCTGAAGCCAGATTAAAGTTTATAAGATGATTTCATAAGTATAATAAAGATTCCAAAAGAATGACGATGTTCTGTATCTTGAAACAATGAGCTTGGATAAGGACTCTTTATTTTTATCTTTAACTGTTTGTTTTTATTTTATACTGCTTTACTCATGAGCAAGAACAATGGACTAGGGCTAACTAAGACTGGGGAGAGGCATCTCCCCAATGACCCATCTCCAGATCTGTCACCTCCCAGAGGGATTTAATGGTATGTATTGGTTGTCCCGACACCGAAGCAGGCATACAGACTAAACAGGAAAGGACGGGCACGTCTGGAGCCAGACTTGGCTTGATTTTGTATGGATTTATCTGGATGAGCAGAGAGGTGCATAGAATGATATTAATCATGTACCTTGCTTTAGGATATCTGTTCGTGATTCTTTTTGATAACTGAGTCCTTTACTACCTAATATTGTGTGACATGAAAATATAAAAAAATAAAACCTCTGCTTATCCAACAGCTAATGGTGACTCTGACTTACTCCAACAGTAACAACTTCTCTCCTTCCTTCTCCCCATGTCTCCCATCGGCAGAATCACCATGGTGACTCTTGTATTTTATCATTACTTGGAATGTGTATCTCAGAGTGCTTTATACATTTTTTAAAACGGGGTGATGGTATGTTATTTTCTATTAGTTGACCCAGACCAAATGGCCTATAATGCATTTTTGTTCAATATTACACTGTGAAGATTCATCTATACCTTTCAAGGCAACTGTAGTTCATCCTTTTTATTGCAGATGTTTTTCTTCATGTTATGGGTCCTTTGGATTGTTTCCATGGTTTGCACCAATGTTACCATGGCCTTTTCTGTCTCCAAGAGTTTGTGGGGACATTAATTTTTGGTCGATACACAGAAGTGGAGTTGCTGGTCCACAGAATACATGGCATCTCATTCTATAGCAGAATGGCAAACCCTTTTCCAAAGGGGTTGTATTGAGCACAACCCCACCAACAATTAAGCACCTGTTACACTGCATCTTCTCTCCCACCCCTCATTCTGCACCAGGCTAATTGGTGTAAAATGATATATCTTTATGATCTTAATTTGCATTTCATAAAACACTAACGACTTTAAGCATCTCTCCCTGTGATTATTGGCCATATGTGTTGCTTCTCTGGGAAACGCCTGTGTAAGACTTTTGCCCAGTTTTCACTAAATTGATTGGGCTTTCCTTTTTGGTTTGTAGAAGTCCATCGTGCATTCTTTTTTTACATCACATGTTCTTGATACTCATCAAATATGACCACAAGTGTTGTAACTATTCCATCCTTAATGTCTCCTGATAACTAGCTACCCTTTTCTTTCTCAGAAGTACTAAATGTAGTGCTATTTTACTGAGTCTTTGTAAGATCGTCTGTGAGCACTGACTCTTTGTGAGATACAGAGGCCAAGAAAAGGAACTCCAAGCTGCTCACTTAGGCCTCGTACTCACAAAAAGGCAGCTAGTCAACTTTGTATTCATTATCTCCAAATGAAGTCACCTGCCACCACAAGCTGGATGTCACGAATATAAGAGAACCTAGGAGCACAAGGCTGGAGCAGCTAGTATAGTGCAGTAGGAATTAAGAAGGGCTAATCTGGTAAGCATGATAACGGCACATTACGTAACATTTTATTATTCTGGTTAAATATAAAACTTTAAAAAAATCCACCACATATGTTATAGAATCTTAAGTCCCTGCAAATAGATGTGTAAGAACGTATTCCCAGTTAGGATCCATCACACACTGAGGTCATGAAACAAAAACCACATTCTGCCAGGACATACTAAGCTTCCCATGCAGGCTGAGACCTCTCCTTTTGGATGTCCTAGGCTTCCCCCGGGATGGGGCTGGAAGGGTTGAGGGTGTAGTGCTAATCTCACGTAGAGGACAGCAATGTCACTAGGTGGCCACGGAAATTTACCCAAGTTCAGTCCACATCCTTGGCACAGTGCGGCATGCAGAGGATTAAAGTATTTGTGTGTGTGTGTTGGGATGATAGCAGAATTTTTCAGGTAGGGAGGGGAGAGAGAGAAGGATAAAAGGTAATAGTGAGGTCGCTGGGCAGCAAGACTGTAGTATTGTCCTGGGGCCACTCACAGTTTGTAACTGACCTTAGGGACAGTGGCTGCCCCAACGCTAGGATTTTTGGACAGAAGGATGCCAAGGGCAACAGCAGCAGTCACAGACACCTGCATTTATCACACCACTTTTCTTCCATCAAGCTTTAAAAGTCACAGACTAGCACATGGCAACGAATTTCAGTCCTTAGTCTGGATGCCAAGGAGACAAGGAGTCTAACCATAGTGAGACTCTGTGTCTCCGACCTTCATCGGATGATATAGCAACTCTCGGCGGAAGTCATTGTAGGAACCTGGCTAAATAAAGGAACAATGTCTGACAAGCTACTCAGGACAGCAACTGTCCTGGTTAGATTTTATCGTTAGCTTGACACAACCTAGTGATACCTGGGGAAAAGGAATCTCTATTAAGGAATTGCCTCCAATAGATTGTCTTATGGCATTGTCTGTGAGGATATTTTCTTGATTGGCAACTTAAATAGGAGGGCCCAGCTCACTGTGGATAGTGCCATCCCCGGGCAGGTGTGTCTGGGTTACATAAGAAAACTGGCTGCGCATGCCAGGGAAGCGAGTCAATAAGCAGCATTGCTGTAGTTTCTGCTTTAGTTCCTGCCTTCTGCTTCCTGCCTGACATCCCCCAAAGACAACTGTAACCGGGAATCCGGAGATGAAAAACAACAAAAACAGCCCTCCATTTGCAAGCAGCTTTTGGCCATGATGTTTATAACAACAACAGAAAGCAGAAAGGCAAACCAGAAGAGGATAGGCTTTCTCTCACCTTCTACTCTGGCTCTGGCCTCTTCCCTCTCCAGTACAGGCTCCATCCCCAGAACCACTGTCCTTCTTACCATCCACAAAAGACCCCTTCTTCATAGTACAGCCCAAATATGTTCTCTGATCATCTCTGCCCCATGTGGCCTTCCCTGTGCTAGCATCTCGGGACACGTGCCATGGGTACACCTGTCCCACAGGTGCTCGTTGTTCACTTGGAGCTCTGTTTTCACCAAGTGCTTTCAGCTGAAAGGGGCGGGTTCATGGTGCCACAAGATGAACGGCAAATGTGGAGAGAGGTGCGAGGCTCTGTTTTAACCTCTCTGCCCTCCCCTGACCAACTTTCCCACAGAAACCTAAACAACATCTACTGTACAGCTCCTCTGCTTCTATAGCTAAGAGTGGGCATCAACTTGAGCAATAAGAGGATGGATTACCTACTAGCAGATGCCTCTGGGAAGATATCTTTGGTCTAATGCATGATACAATTCATGGCCTCTCTCCCAGTTCTTGCACCCTGATCCCAGTTGTGCCTACCTTTCTGATGCCTTCTGAAGGACTGGATACACAGTTGTCGGCACCTCCATTCTTGCTTATGGTCCGCCAGAGCTCAGCAAAAGTGCTGTCCTGCTCCAAGGGATTGGTACCCTTGGCTCTGAAGTACTCGTATACAGCAGAATCCCGCACGGTGCCATAAGACATCTCCAGTTGCTTGGACAGGTCCTGAAACGTCCTGAAAGGCAGAGAGAGACTGACACATTGGTACTTGCTGAATATTATACATTGTAAGGATAAAACGGCCTGCGAGCCTCTCCTGAGTTCTAAGTCCTACAATGATCCATTAACCACATTCATCACACCCAGCATCCAAATGTCTCAGCCTGGAGCCCAGCTTCCACATATCACAGCTACGTTTCCTCAGTAAGATGACCGAGCATATAAAACCAGGTATTGTATTGAGATCAAAGGATGAAACAATAAGTAAGAAATAATTCCTGCCATCAGCAAGCTTTGAGTCTAGCTACAGAAATATGCATAAAGGCAGGAAATCACAGTATAACAGAGTCAGGGCAGCACAAAACACAAATTACTGGTGTTTCTGCCCTGCACATCAAAACGCTGAGCGGGCAGGATGGATGACGCAGAAGACTAGTCCTGAGTTACTTTGGCACCAACACACACTACGATGCTGAATCAATTAATAGATGTCCCCTCCAAAACTTGCAGATATGCTGGAGTTCCAGCCAATTAATGACGCTGAGCACCTAGTAACCAGTTTGAGTGGTTCTAGCAAGACACGGGTTGCTGGGAGCCGATTTGAATGGCTGCCATTACAAGATGGCATTTGGCCCTGGCCTCGCTTGATAAATAACTCCATATTAAGGTTGCAGTTCTTCCACCAGAAAACAGGGTGAGTTGTTGTGATCTAGCTGCCCACACTCCCCCTGACCGGCAGGGGAACTTCCTTGTGGTCTGTAATTGACAAGGATGTTCCCCTGCTTTCTTTCCTGCCGGTGGGTCTCCAGAAAAGCAGTTAAAGTATCAAAGGTTGCTAGGCAGACTCCCTATATAAGCAGCTGCAGCTCAGAGCTGGGGCCCCTCGCTTCCTGCTCTCCCTATAACCAAGAGGCTCCAATAAAGCGTGATTTGGGAAGAATCCTCCTCTGGTGGCTGTTCTTTCCTGCTGGTCAAAGAGTTGGCCAGAGTGTCTCAGGAAGTCCCCTCAGCAGCCTGGAAACAGACAACTAAACAGGGCTCAGAGAAAAAGGCTTCTTTTTGAAAAGAGAAATGCATATACTTCTCGACTTTCTGCTTTGTATGGTAGCAAAGCCATCCTGAACTGAAAATGCCACTAAGCTGAACATGTGCTTCATACACCTGCCTAACCCTATGGTGTCTACATCACCCATGTTATCATACATGGAATACCATGAATAAAGTATGAAATATCCGCTACTTATTTAATATGTGTATGTGTGTATGCTCGAGCACCCATATATAAACCTGGCGACACAGCATACTATAGAGGATCTATTTAAATCCACGGGACCAGCTGGCCCACTTGGAGATCAAGTCATTGCTGCCACCCAGTTCCACAAGAGAGAATCTTTCCATATATCACTAGCCCAGGAAGAGATCCAAACTCAACATTTAAAATACAGCTTTTAGTGCTTGTTATTTTCACCCCATTAGATCATCAAAGACACTTTAGTTGAGCCACTGCTAAGTCAGGAATCCTCAGTAGTGAGGCATGAGGCAGGAAGGATGAATTAGTACGGTACTCTTGTTTGCTATTTGAAAAGTCGTGCCTATCATTACAGTTAGAATGCCATATACCAGCCCAATTTACAGAATTTTAAAAGTCCCAATGGGAATTCAAGCTTTCTCTCCAGGGTCTGACCAGATCACCTTTTATCTATTTTTCTTCTGAAATTCTCAGTATCTCCTTTATCAACCAATACCATTACCTGTACCTCTTACCAAATCTTTCACCAGGAAGAGTCAACCCAACTGTCTTATTTTGTTTTTCTATGGATGCAATACACAACATGACCAAAAGGAGACTGGAAAGGAATGCATTTATATCATCCTACAGCTTAAAAGCTAACATGAAGAGAAGATCAGGAACCTGAAGACAGAAACTGAAGCAGAGACCTTGGAGGCATGTTGCTTACTAGCTTGTACAACCCAGGACCACCTGCCCTGGGATGGAACCAGCCCTAGTAGACGGAACCCTTCCACATCAAGCATTAATCAAGAAAATCCCCCACTGCCTTCCCTACAAACAATCTGACAGGGGGCATTTTCTTAGTTGAGTGGCCATCTTCCCAAATCGTCCAAACTTGTGCCAATTTGACAAAACACTTACCAACATACCAACCAATCTTGCCAGGCTGGCTGATCTGTACAATTTCTGTCTTTGGTTCATATCCAGTGATTTTCCCTGTTCCTACTTAGCACCATTACCAACCTGAAAATAAGAGATGCCACCCATAGCTATCAGGCTATGGCTCTCCTTTTGCTGGGAACCCCTTTATCCCACTCATGTACCTGTAGACTTCTACAAATCTAGCTGTAAAGTCATCCTTAGCCCAGGTCTCCCTATGCTGTCTCCACAGCTTGAAGATTAGCTGCTTGTTTTGTTTTTAGGCCCTACCATCACTAATAAGGTGGGCCTGGGCAAGTTCACTGATATCTTTGTGCCTCAGTCTCCAAACCTTAAGATGAGGGCTAGAGGCTGAGCCTGCAGCAGTGGGTTCTTACTGAGGATTAAGGAGGATTTAGGCTCAGGACAAAGAGTGGTACCTGATGGGGCCATTGCCTAAGAGGTGGAGGTCATGATTCTGAGTTAGTATTCTGTGTATGAGTCCCACCAGAGATAAGGCTTTGGAGGCCTGGAGATGAAGCAGTTCCATCACTACCCCATGGCCCTGGGTCCAGGGCTGACAGCAGCCTGCACAGCAAGCACACAGGGTCTGCATGGTACAGGTGCTCCGTTCGGCTGTGGTGGCACGCTTTATAGCATTCCCCTGGTCCTGCTATGTGGGCTAGAAACAGAGCTCAGGATTCGTCTCAATACATTGCAGATGAAAGGAGACATGAAATAACAAATTTGATGAAGAAATCGTCCTAATTATTGTTCATTATTTATATCTAATTGAAGCAAGATGTTCCTTTGCTTGAAGGGCCCCAAGGGTTGTAACTCTGCCATAATTTGCCTATAATAAAAGGAGGGGAAATCGTCTTTCTCCTACATTCTTTTTTAATTTTTCTCATGGTAATACAAACAAACACAGGCTTTGATGAATGGGAAACATCAGGATGAATTACACAGTTGAGTCTAAATACCGAACTACTCTAAATTACTGCAGTTTCCGCAAGTACGGAATGAATGCCTAACTTGCAGGAAGCTCTGATCTCCTGCATTATCCCCACATTGGAAATTGGGATTTCCCCCATCCTGTGTATTTATTTATAATGGTGATCCTGGACAGAGAGGCTCAGGGACCATCAGCGACAACAAGTAGGCAGCCTAACTCTTAATGGCTCTCTCCCCCTTTCTGGTCCAGCGTAGATTATTGTTTCCCTTCCTCCAGCATCCCCTTCCTCCTGTGAAGCTTCACCTTCTGGCTCACGGCCTGGCCTATCTCTCCCCTCCCACAGCCACAAGCTGGGAGGCAGAGATCTCTCCAATCCCAGATGCACACTCAATCAACAAAGACTTCCAAGCCCACTTCTCTGACTGACACAACACAGTCAATCATCCTGTTCCTGTGGCCCTAAGCCTAAAACGGCTAGCAGAGGTGGTCCCACCTAAGGGTATAACAAAACTATCGCCTCCCTGGACAGTCGTCCTCTTGTCAGAGCGCAGAGTTTGGGAAAGGACATTCGGGGATGGATAATGGAGAGCAAGGACAGCCAGTCAATGTGGCTGCCAAGCCAGCATTGGCACTCAACAAGAGGCAGATGTGGAGGGCAGATAGGACACCCATCCAAAAAAAAGTGAAGGAGTTTCACCAGGAGAGAGCTACACTTGCAGCACATACAATTAACCTTTTCCGAAGCCACTCTTTCCGGCAAGAAGTGACTACAAGTGTCCAGGCTCTTACAATGTAAGACAGATGGAGGGCACGTGCACTCATCACAGGTCAGATTCCTGTCAATCCAGTGTGTACCACACACCATGCGCGATAAAGTCTCTGCACCAGCTATTGCCCCAAACAGTTGCTAGATGCCTAACAGGTCACACACAGTGACAATTAAACTTTTCTGTAATGCATCCCTCATTCCTTCCCAGCGCGACGCTGTCTGTGCTGTTCAATAAATGCAAAGCAAAAGCCTTTTGTTGGTCACCCAGGCAATCAGGACAAACATAATTCACAGATCAGACACAGACTACAAACTAGCAAATCACTACAAACTACAGACCAATGGAAGTCACAGGGAGAAAAGCAGAGAATTCAAACTTTGGCTAGTTCTCAATCAAGTTAATCGAAGGAGAAGTGCTAAAAATTTCTTTCCTCAGTGCATCCCTGACATGTTTTGGAGCCTCTGAGGTTATACTTAATGTATTTAACCAATACAGTATAGTAACTAGAATGGTCACACTGTGGGAAGAAAGCATGGATAGAAAGCAAACGTCGGTTTTCAGGATCACATGTTCAAAGCCAAGCTCTGCACCTGTCCATTTATGTCCCAAGGAAATCAGTCCATACCCCAATTTATCTCTATCACCACCATATCAATAGTGCCTAGTCCAGGTATTCAGGATACCTAATGGAGCATCTAGGGGATGTCTGAATACAAATGGAGCATGGAGACACCAAAACTCTAACTTGATTTGAGAACAAAATGGCTTCTACTTCAAAAGGCCACCTAGAAAACCACAAAGCAGCCAGGGCAAAGAATTTCATGGGAGAAATGGCTTCTGAAGCATTATTCCTGGGCCCCTTGGGTTTTAGTCAGCCGCTGAAATGCCACAGTGCAAGCACGTACATCACGCGACTTCCACCACCTCTGCTCGTCTCCTTCCTTTGGAAATCCTCCCATGGCAAAGCCTACTTTCTTCTTCAAGTTTACATATGAGCCAATGTGTTCCACTCAATGGCTCTACTAAAGCTCTCTTTGGAGCTTGTTTTCTGCATCTCCCATCCTGAGCTGCTGACTGGGGCAGTAGGAGGATGGGGGGGGGGGTCTTCCCCATTGGAAAGCACAGCGGACAATGATGAGCAT